CTTCATTTCTGCCTTTGCCAATTGATTGGGTAGGTTGGGTCAAAAAAGCTGCTAAACCCCATTGGGCAAAGATGTCAACAGAATGGAGCAATCAAGGACGAGATAAACTGAACAAAACCAACACACGCAGCACCTCGTCAACTAGGAACTCATGCTAAAGTCACAAGGAAGCAGGAAAGGGAGAAGTCTTACTTGGTCTCTAGCAGCTGCGTATTCTCCATCAAGAGATTCCCCACTTCTTTGCCCATTCCTGGGGGAGGTGGGGGAAAAAAAATAAAAGCCATACAAATGTTGACACATACATTTTGGCAAAAAGAAAAGAAATAACTTTCTTGTTCAAAAGCTTCTCATTAGTTACAAAGAATGGAAGGAATGGTATCAGAAGATAAGTTCCATTCATCCCAAAACTTCCTTCGGAAGATAAGGTGGAAGATTATTTGAGGGGGCATGAAATGCTGGACCGCAGATTTGCTGCCTATACTCTAAATAGCTGTCATTTTTTTAAAAAAAAAAGTCTAGCTAAGGACAAGTTCAAACTACAGTGGGTTGTTTTCACTCTGGATTTAAAGAACCATGGTTCTGCAAAGGCAGAACGGGGCAGAGGTCAACACACAAAATTCAGTAACTCTGGGTTCATTTTCTTGTTTAGCCCAGAAGCAAACTGAGCATCATTCACAGTCTAAAGTATTTAACAGAATTGGTGCAATATTTTTTTAAAGGAGAAAATGACTAGATAAGCTACTCTTCAAGGAAAGTTGATGCAAACAAGGAATAATTGTATTGAAAATTTCCTTTGGAGCTTAGCAGCCAATGGCAACCCCTTTGGTGATCACGGGATGGGAAGCTATGCATCCTTGGTCTGGCCATTCTTTGGACAGAAAACCACTAAGGAATCAAGGACTATGAGCCAGGCTGGGAAGTCCAAAAAAGCTTGCCAGAAAAACAAGAGCAGCGGCAAATCACCATCATATTGTTGGCAAGAACAAGTAGCAATTTGTCTGTGAAGTTATCAAGAGCTTATATCAAGGGAACCTTAATTTGCCTTCTTCACAGGTCAAAACACATTGCCAACCTTGGCTGAATTAAAAAAAAATACTAATTGGGATTGGTTCTGGTTTGCCTCTAGATCAGAAATACACGGAAAGAAATTCTGGCAGATAGGCTAGACTGAGAAAGCAAGAAAAGTTCTTAATAGTACAATCATCTCTCATTTCCATACTTTCCCCAAGAAATGTACATGAAGGTGGCCATGAAGCCCACCAAACCTATGCTCAACCTGAAGGGGATCTCATATTTCTACTTCAGCATGTCATTGCTAAATTGGTCCAACTATTAGAAGGCCTTCAGGTTCTTCTAACTTTCATCTGGCTCTTTTTTTAACCTAATACTTTGTTGACATAAAACTTTCATTCAACCGGAGAACAACTGCTCAATTTATCAAGACCCCTGAAAGATCTGTATTCTCATGATATTGAATTGCTTTTTCTTGAAATCTAGAGGTATATACAGTACTGACAGAAGGAATTCCACAAGTGCATTCCAAACATGGCAGTCTTTCGTTTTTGAGAATTTTGAAGGGTTTTTCCACCAATAACAACCTTTCTCTCCCAAGGGTTTGAATAAACTGAGATGCTACCTCTGATTTAGATGGACCTCAACAGATGGAAGAGTCATTTGGTGACCTTGGAATTCCCTAAGCTTCATCTAAGGCAAGTTCTACAAACAAAAGCTTCCTGTGGAGGTTCCTATCCTTGCAGCCAATTAAATTGCATTGAAGTTCATTCTTTGTAGGGCAGCGTTCACTTCAAAGCACTGAGAACTTAACAGAGAAGAAACCGATTTCTTCCTTCACAAAATGGAAGTGGTACTACTTTGAATCATGCCGTCCCAATTCCAGATGTTTAAAAGAAGAGGTCTTCTAAAGTTCAGTACAGAGCCAACCTCTGCCAGCATCCAAACTCTCTTCTACTTCACACTGCGTAGGAAAAATAAACTGGGTTTTTTTTGTTTTTTAAATGCGGGGTCTGTTTAGGTTTCTTTCATGGGACAAATGCACACTCAGGACAAATGAAAAGTTAACAAGAGAATCATGGGAGCATACATAAGAAGTGAGAACACATCACAACACACCGGGGCAGTGCACAGACCTTCTTCCCACAATCAGATGGAGATGAGTTAGAGATGGCAGAGGAATGCCCACTTCCCAGGGAGAATGGAAAAGCAGCTGCAGTTGTGTTGAGAGGACATGAAGAGGTTAGTCCCTTTTGATGTTTCAGGCAGCATTTGATCTGCACGGAGTTTCGCAGGGCATAACCAAGAACTAAATCTTTGGGGGACATTAACAAGGAACTGCTCCTGGTCTTGTCTTTTCCTTCTGAGTTCAATCTGGCTAGTGAAAGAGTCCAGATATGATGCATTTACTGTTTATTCTAGCACTCCTTGAACATTCAGAGAGAAAAGGTGAGCCTAACGGAAGCCAAAGACAAATTCCTTGTGTGTCCAATCACACTTGGCCAATAAAGAATTCTACATTCTACAATGGGGCCTCTTGTAAGAATGGGAGACTTGGTCCATGCCATCCAATCATGATATTTAAGGCAGATTTTGAACGCAAGTTTCTTTAGATACGACCTTCTCCAATTTAGAATAGAAAGATGAGCTTTTAGTCAGTAATAACACTAAACAAATAGCAGTCGGAAATCTCAGCTTGCCGCACCAAGGATCATCTGGTCATCTCTGAGTAGAACTCTTAGAATTGCCNGGGATTATACGAAGCTCCGGGGGCAGCTCATTCCAGAGGGAAGGCGCTTCAACTAATAGCAATCAAGAACTCGAACAGCTGAGACACATATGAATTTTGAGTCCAACAATATCACCTCCTGGAGCAGGAAGTTCATGGCTAACCCAGTCCTTCCCCTGTTGAATGCATGCAAATGGAGATATCACCTACCATCTTTCTTCCAATGGGACAATGGAAAGAGGCTGTGCAAAGAGAGCCTCTTTCTTCATGGCCCGTATACAATTTTGGATGAAAGAGAGACAGCAAAATGGAGTCTCCTCTCCCTCAAGCTTCCCATTTTAGTGTTGAGGACCCGGATTGTTGTTGGGGGCAATATGCTGACTCTGTAAACCGCTTAGAGAGGGCTGAAAGCCCCATAAAGCGGTATATAAGTCTAACTGCTAACTGCTATTGCTATTGTTTCAGCAGCAACCAGTTCAACACCCAGTTTGAGGGAGACGTCTAATGGAAGCAAAATAGCTTGAGCTAAACAAAGATACTGCTAATTTTTAAGGGGTCACATTCATATCAATGACAATGAAGACCATGAAAAGATGGCTGCTTAACCCTTTGCAGCCATTTACATCTTTGGGCAGGTCTTGTCTTGAAGTCGCCTACATCATACGCGGGTGAGATTCAAAACAATCCATCCATGATTAAACATAAGAAGATCATTTAACTAAACAATAGTGTGTTTCCTGTGCAGAAAGAACTAATTTTCTTCATAGTTCTGGGCCCACTGGGGTGATTAGCTGTTGGCATAAAGGTTTGCTTGACTACAAGCAAATGTCGGAGAACTAAGTTCTCACTGCAGTCTGTCAATCAGAAAGGGATAAAGCCATAACAAGCCTACTATCCTATTGCTGTTTCCAGGACTAAGGGTAATAAACCACATTCTTGTCGAAAAGGAAGAAGAGTAATAGGGATGGTTTAAATTATAAAAATCCCATCCTTGAAACAATGACCCCAGATGATGAGGCACAAACGTTGCGGGTTCCAGAGGAAAATTATCAGACTGAAACCACAAAAAAGGGAAAATTGATTCAACACGAGATAAAAATATTGCCCTGACATAGGCTTCCCCAAAAAGCACCAGGCAGAGTCCTGGTCCCGACAAAACCCCTTTTATTAAAGGAATGTGAATTCCTCTTATTCACATTCAGCAACCACCTAGTAAACAGTCTTTCAAAGGAATATTTATGACCACAGATCTTATCTATCTTGGAAAGCTGCCATGTAAATATTTCTCCAAATGAAGTGCTGTGCAAGGAAAGACTGGGCACAGAGTCTCTGAGATTCACGGACAGATCTTCACATTCCTGAAATGAATCTAAAGACTGAATGAACAAATTGTTTCCTGCAAAAGCCCCCTCCCCTTTCACTCCTCTTTTATTTCCTATGGGACCAATCACCTTCCACCTGTGACTTTACTCCCAAGTCGACCCTGATTTCTGAACTGTTCTTGTCTTCTGGCAGCTCTGTGCATGCGCACACTGGGAACAGGCTCCAGCTGTTCCTCTGCCTCACTGCTGTCTAGCTCCGAAGGCACCTGATCACTGCTAGACGACCTCAGCCTTGTCTCTGCCTCCAATGCAGAGCCCTTGGTCCAAGTCATCTCTAGCCTCCAAGACTGGCCCATGTTCCTCCCCAACTTCCTCACTGTCTGACTCTGCCGCCAGCTCTGCTGGCCACTGGTGGGCCACAACAAATATTAAGCTTTTCTCATTAGGGAAAGGACTGTTCCTGGAGGGAGGGGCCCCTTCACTTCATTAGAATTCCTACTTCCCCCAGGTTTGTTAGAGCTTGAATTTGATGATTTTCGGGCCCATTCCAACTATATGAACATTTTGGCCCCATCTTTCTTCCCTGCCCTTTAGGGAGCCATACCTTCACCTCTGACAATGCTCCAAAATAAGAAGTGTAGCAAATGAGCATGAAAAGGCTTACAGCATCAGGTCATAACATATTCTGAGGTCCTTCTAACATAGCTAAGCTGAACCTCCCAACGGACCCAATCTGGATAATCAAAAGGGAGGCATGTGAGAAGATGCAAAAGAGCCATCAGTTGCCTATTCCTGGAAAGGCAGAAAATGTTAAACAAGCAAATGGGCTGGGAGTGGGGGGCGGGGGGGAAATGGTTTAGGCTGCAAAGGGTTACAGACACAAAGGGTCCTTCTCCCCTGATGGAAAACAGAATCAGACAAGTAGGCAGGGAAGCTTCTCATTTCCATGATAGTTGTAAAAAAACCTTGTAGACGGAGTTGGACTGCAGCTGACTGAGGTCACTCAGGTGCCAGTGGTCCACTGCGGGGGCAATCTTGGCCCCCACCTGCCCACGTACCATATCATCTGTGAGGGGGATGTTCAGAGAATTTGGACGCCTCTTCATGCTAGAATGAGAGAGCAAGAGAAAAGAGAGGAGAAAGGGTCAGTGAAAACACGGCAGGCTGGAATGCATCAAAAGCACAATTTAAAAAAAAAGCTTGCCATAATAAATACCATAGCATTCAGAATAACAGAGTTGGAAGGGACCTGGGAGGTCTTCTAGTCGAACGCCCTGGTGAAGCAAGAGACTATGCTCCATAGAAGAGAATATTTGTAGCTTCGGGTTGAACTGTGGGGGTCCTTGCTCTGTCTGGTTGTTGTTTTCTTGCAGATGTTTCATTACCCAATTAGGTTACATGATCAGTGGTAAACCAACCCCCTCTTAGCGCTGATGATGTTACCTAATTGGGTAATGAAATGTCTGCAAGAAAACAACCAAGCTAAGAGGGCACCAAGAACCCCACAGTCCTCCTCATCTTCCTCCTCCTCCTATGTCTCATCCCATCCCATTCCCGTCTAGCGCTGATGATGTTACCTAGTTGGGTAATGAAACGTCTGCAAGAAAACAACCAAGCTAAGAGAGCACCAAGGACCCCACAGTCTTCCTCCTGTTCCTCCTTGTCTTCTTCCTCCTTCTCCTGTATGTGCCACCATGTCCCATTTCCTTCTAGCACTGATGATGTTACCTAATTGGGTAATGAAACGTCTGCAAGAAAACAACCAAACTAAGAAAGCACCAAGGTCCCCAGAATTAGCATTCAAATGCTCTTTAGGATCCATTGTACATAAACCTGTCTCTTACATGAATTTGGGCTGAAATGAATCATCCGTGTTATTCAAGCTTGTAACAACAGGCGCTAAGGAGATGGCATGTCAAAGAAGCTTCCATATAATTCCTCAGCGCTGTGTTTCTCAAGCTCAACACTGAAAGTCAGTTGACGTCCACCTCTCTTCCAGCTTAAGAGGCATCAAATAAATGATTTAACTGTCTCACAATGACAGCCATTTTCCATTTAAAGAACAACATCCACATTAATTGGGGAAATGATCTAGGTCAGGGCTCGGCAACCTTAAACACTCAAAGAGCCATTTGGATCCATTTCCCACAGAAAAGAAAACACCAGGAGCCACAGAACCTACCGGGGGTCGAAAAGCTCAATAAATCGCATGTTGGTGGGTTGCACACATTAGCGGTTGTGACACATATTTTCAGCGACAGGGAGCCGCAGCAGAGGGATGAAAGAGCCACATGCAGCTCCAGAGCTGATCTAGGTGCTGAAATCTTAAGCACCACCGCTTGGGGAACAAATACACTTCACAGTGTTCTTCCCTATCCACATTCCTGACCACTAAGTTCAGAATATTCCTTATTCCAAGTGTATTTATAAATCAACCATCTATCAAAAAGCAACTCTGGAAGGCATACAGAAAGTTGGTCTACTAGTTCTTTTTAGTCAAATAAAGTCAAGTTTCCAATTCAAGTGCAATTTCTTCTGATGAATGTGTCCATGTGGGTTTTGTTTTTGACAACAACACACAAGTAGTTTGCCACTAGATTTTCCATTTAACTCTCCATGATTAGCGACATTTGGCTAAGCATTTACATTCACGTTTAAATGTTAAATAATTCTGGTTTCTACCACACGCTAATAGGTGTCATACTAGAATTATTAAGATAAAGGTAAAGGTTCCCCTCACACATCTGTGCTAGTCGTTCCTGACTCTAGGGGATGGTGCTCATCTCTGTTTCAAAGCTGAAGAGCCAGCACTGTCCCAAGACATCTCCGTGGTCATGTGGCCGGCATGACTCAACACCGAAGGNGTGAGGAAAGTCCTAGCATTTTTACTCTCTCTGGAGAGAGTAGATGCTAGTATTTTTACTTTCTTTGGAGAAGCAGAGGGATGTGAAACTGGTAGCAACAAAGAGAGCAAACTGGGGGTTGGTAAACCTTTTTCTATTAAAGGTTGCATTTGGGGGGGGGTGTGATGTTTCAGGGACTATGTTTCCAGAAGCTAGAAAAATAGTAAGTGAAAGCACAGCTTCTTTCTCTCTCTGCCATGTCCCTTTTTTTTTCTTTCTCTCTCTCTACCACTATCATCTCATCTATGTATTTGGATTTCTGGGAAATTCACTTTATTTTTCTCTGTTTCCTTATCTTCTCCTTATGAGTTTTGGCCCAAAAACAGTACTCTTTCGGGCTGAGACTGAGATTAAACTGGAGAGCCAGGAAGAGGAAGTAGAGATGAGTGGCCTCAATTTTAACCTCAGTCTCTGGGCAGATTGGACATGAGAATACCCATCAGTGACCTCCCACAGGTCATTTTGGAGAACCACATAACCTGGTCTTGGCTGAGGCTAAATAACTCGAGAGCTGCAGGTAGCCTATCCTGACAAAAAAAACCTCCCAATTTCAGAGATATAATGAAAACATTGGGTTTCTTGGTGCTGCTTCTACTGCTATCTTTAGAATAAGAAATGAATGAAACAAGGACTTAACAACTGCACTGGATTAATGTAAACAAGCTTTCTGGTTTTCCAGTGGCTAAATACAGTACTTAACTTGATAATGATATTTTTTGGGAATTCTGTAAGCCACTGGGTCTTAAAAAGCTGAAAAACTGGTTTGCCGAATTTTGTCACAAGTTGCTTTTAAGATATGCTAGATAAGGATGGCTTAATCGCAGGGGATATTAACAATAGGAGAACAGGATGGTGTAAGAAAGAAAATATCCTTAAAACAAGCTTTTCTTTATAATAATGTAAGTCAACTTTTATCAAAAGCTGCTGGAGTTAGATCGAGCAACTACCAAATCTATGTCCTTCTGTCCTCGAAGCTTAATTAGTGGGACGAACAACTAAAAGTGTTGCAGATAAGACTGGGAATTTGGGGTGGGGGGGGGGGAAATAGCCTAGAAAGAAGTGACAAATTACTGTGCTGAATCCATGGGGGGTCACCAAGAGTCAAGCTTCCATCCAAGGAAACCCTCTTTTAAAGCCAGTAGACCTCAAAAGAACTCTAGCAAAGAAGGGGAAAGTATAACTGTTCAAGTGAAGTAGTTCTTGATGATATGCGATCCAAGAAAAACAATATCTTGTGTTCTCCTCTAAAAGTCCCAGGTTTATTATTAACAATGGGGAAAAAAGGAGAACATCACAAACCAACTCATTGTCCAGTAGTTGTTTCTCCCCCACTTATTAGTTTATCAGAAGTAGCGCCAGATCCATCCAGTTAATACTAATTAAGACAGTAATTTCATTCCAGCAACCCCTAAATATTGCAGGATTATAATTCTCAATTATGCTTGACTGCAGACTGACCTGATTGGGGGATGAAGTCCAATCACAACACAAGGCTATATTTTAGAAACGGGTGATTTAAGCACCATTCTTCCAAATGGGTTTATTTTTTTTAATCACCTAAGAATGGATGGATATTTAATTTCAGGCTTTGGTTCCTGACATGTCTTAATTAATAAAGAAAATACAGTCTTCATCCCATATATCAGGATATCCCAAAGGAGATGGGATCATGTGGACAGAGGGGATGGAGACTGCAGGAAGGAAATGGAAGCAAAACACAAAAAGTGAACTCTAACTGTCAGGAGCAAGCAGCCATCTTTTAATTTCTTTTAACAACCCCATAATCCCTTGCGGGGTGGAGTCTGGGAAGCTGAATGGAGCTAGCGGACTGTTTACTGTCCGGATACCCTTCCTGTTGCCAATGCGGAGTTTTGTTCAGCAGATATATTCTCAGTGTGCCCAGAGAGAGAAATACCTGCCTCTATATAGGATTGAACTCACAGCTTCCTGGTTGTGAGGTGAGAGCGCCACCTCTAGGCCACCGCGCCACACCTCAGGAGCAAGCAGCCACAGCCTCTCATAAATACCCAGTCAGTACCTTTATTGTTTGCCACATATGTTACAAGAATCTCCTCATACTACTTGCCTTTCCCTGGAAATGACCAGATAAGGCTTAATGGCTCTTGGGGGAGGTCAAGCTTATGCTGTATGTGGCTGCACAATGATTCCAAGCTAGGTCCTTGCTTGACTCCTCCTTCCAGCCTAGCTGGCAGGTTCCCAACATCCACTGTCCAAACTAATAAAAGCAGGGAAAGGTAGAACCAAGTTAACAGAAGGAACTTTTGACAGGATTTGTTACATGTGAATATTCTCTGGATTTGTTTTAAAATTCTAGAAAAAAAAATTTTTTTTAAAGGAAAAGGAGAAAACAAACCAGGAATCTAAGGAGAGGAGAAATACACACCTGAAAATTCCCCTATGGGCCATGTCCCACGAAGCACAGAGAGAGGAAGGAGTGGAGTGGAGGGGGGGAGGGAAAAAAAGTCAATCAATGTCTAAAACCAACAACAATAAAAAAAATAATTCTTGGAATTTTTTTTTTAATAACTCCCTCCTCCCTTCCCCAAGACGACGATTCTGCCGTTTCCGCATCAAAAGGCATGAAATCATAAAGACAAGGTCCGCCGTGACCATAAACAGCGTGAATTTACATGAGGAAAAGCATGAGGGGCATGAGAGGGGAAGGGTCGATGTTTCTGATGAAAATGGGGGTGAGGGGCTTGCAATCCCCTCATTCAACCTTGCTTTTTCTCACAGTAGCATCTGGTTTTCATTCGGGAAGAGTTTTCTCTTGCTTTCTTTGCATTGTTCTGCTTCCGGGACACCAAAGAAAAACATGAGCTTTTGTAACCAAAACCTCACTGAAACGCTTAGGAGTGTCCCGCCAGCATCTCCACCGAAACCTCAAGCATACCTTAGATGTCTACAAAGGATATTTGTCTTGTCCCACGATGGGGATATTTGTGTGTGTTCTTGAGTGGTTTGGATTCAGCTGTCACATCTGATGTATTTTATTTGTTTCTACCTCTCTATGGTGTGTGGACGAGGGAAGGAGGATGAAATAAGTTATGGTTTATTTCCGTCTGTAACCATGGCTTGCTTACGGATTGCAACGGTAGCTTAGCATGACATGCAAATGGAGAGTATCGTTTGTTGGTAGTTCTCTGTTTTGTTCGTGGTTTCTGTTATGTATTGAATGCATAT